ACCCCAGGGTGGCTTTTCAAGGGGCCAGCCACTGCACCGCTGATCCACAGATCAGCGGTGTGGTGGCTGTCCCTTTAAAAGGCCACCTCCATGCATTTCTAAGGGGCAGCTGCCATAGAGCCTGGGGTCAGATGTGGAATCCCCAGCAGACCCCATGTTCTGCTGCCGCGGGGAGCCCAGAATCAGCTGGGAGTCCCCAGCTGACCCCAGGCTCCATGGTGCTGCCCCTCTGAAATGCCACAGATGGTGTTTTAAATGGGCGGCTGCCGTGGAGTCCTGGATCAGCAGGGGACTCCCCAGCTGACCCCAGGCTTCCCGCAGCACTTCCCTAGAACCCCAAACTCGTCTTCAAGGTGCCATTGTAGAAAGCCCCAAACTTGCCTTCGAGGTGCCACTGTAGCCCGTGCCAAGGCATTCCATGATGGAGAGGTTTCTCTCCAGTCAGAGGTTTTTCTAGTAAGAGGCATAGCAAGAGAGTCAGGCTTATCCTTACGCTTTCTTGAATGCACACTTCGAGTTTGCCATCCTGCACGACGTAGATGCTGTTATCCAGCTGCCCAGGACGGAAGATGTATTCGCCTTCGTGCAGTTGCACAAAAACCATGTGTTTGCACAGCTCCAGGAAGAGAGGCTTCTCAAAGTGGCCAAGAACCCTGCAGGGAAGCAAAGAATCAGTGACACCTTCTCTGTTTTATAGGGAAACCTGAAAGTGCCGTGGTGCATGAGAGTCCTCACTAAACTATCATGGTACTGTGGGGATCCCTGGGCAACTGGCAGCCCCATGGGGCACAGAACTCTGAGCTGAAAGAGCCGGAGCACAGCGTGACCTTGCAGGGACAGAAAGTTCAGCGATGGCTTTCAAGCGAGACTTTCTGATATTGACTCTGAACGATGCTGATGTGCTCAAAGGCATCCACAACTTGCCCTCCTCAGCCAAAAGCTAATACATGACTTCTAAAGATGGGAATGTGGAGAAGAACATAAGAACAGCCACACCGGGTCAGACCAATCATTCATCTAGCCTAGGATCCTGTCTTCCAACACAGCTGATGGTTCAGAGGGAAGGACCAGGACTGGGAATCGTGTGGGAAGGGGGAAGAGCATGCAGAGTGAATCAGGTGATTTGCAGCTCCTTCAAAAGAGTTGGGGGGGAGAGGGAAGGCATAGGAAGTGTGGGGCTCTGACCTCAGTGCCTGAGAGATGCATGGAGGAGGGGAGACAGCCAGAGGGACCGCAGGCCACAAGTGGAGCCCCAGTGGGGCGCACGCAGCCTGCAGGCTGCCCACCACTCATTGATTTACATCCCTGCCTGATTTTGTCTGATGGAGCTACCCTCCATAGAATCATAGGGCTGGAAGGAACTTGTGAGGTCACCTAGTCCAGTTCCTTGCACTACTGGCAGGATTAAGCATGATCTGGAACATCCCTGACAGGTGTTTGTCTAACCCACTCCTAAGAACCTCCCATGATGGAGATTTCACAACCTCCCTATGCAATTTATTCCAGGGCTTCACCACTTGATGATTTAGGAAGTTTTTCTTTTTTTTTCCAATCTTCTCTCGTAGGTCATGCTTGTTACACCTTTAAATCATGTTTGTTGCTCTGCTCTGGATTTTCTACAATTTGTCCACATCTTTACTGAATGAGAGCCCAAGACACAAGTCTCCAGATGAGGTCTAATCAGTGCAGAGTAGAGCGGAACAATTACTTTGTGTGTCTTGCTCGCAACACTCCAGTAAATGCAACGCAGAATGACAATCCTTTTTTTGCAACAGTTTTACACCGTTAGCTCGCATTTAGATTGTGGTCCACTATGACACTAGATTCCTTTCGGCAGTATCCTTCCTAGGCATTCAATTCCCATTTTATACGTGTGCAACTGGTGGCTCCTTCCTAAGTGCAGTACATCACATTCATCCTTATTGAATTTCATTCTATTTACCATATCACTTGGATATCATTAAGCAGCTCTGCCATTTCCACATTTTCTGTTATTTCCCCCTCCCCACTACCTCATTGAGTAATGGTCCTACCCTGTCCGTGGTCTTCCTTTTGCTTCTAATGTATTTGTAAACTCTTTTTTGTTATCTCTTCCCTCTCTAGCTAGTTTGAGCTTGTTTTGCAACTTGGCCTTTCTAATTTTGCCCCTATATACTTACTTGTGTTATGTGTTTACAGCCATTGTTCAGAATTTGACCTAGTTTCCACTTTTTGTTGGACTCTTTATTTTATGTCACAGATCTCCTGATTAATCCACAGTGGTCTCATGCCATACTTCCCATCTTTCCTACAAAGCAGGATAATTTGTTCTTATGCCCATAATAATGCCCACGAACTTACCTTGAGGTTTGTTTGGTTTTGGGGAAAGGGGGGTTGACCCTGTTATAGTTTTGGCATTCACAACATCCCCTGGCAATGAGTTTCACAGGCCTGCTTTGTGTTTTGATTACTTGAAATTGCTGCTTATTAATTTCATTGGGTGACCCTAAAAGCCTGCCGCTTGAGGAAAAAAATCACTTGAAGAATTTCTCTGCTCAGTAATGTAACTAGAACAGCAAATTCACCAGAAAAAGGTCAGAACAGAGAGGGAGGAAAAAGTGTTATGGGAAAGTTTGGGATAAGCTCCCCTTTTCATGGAACATGCCAGGAGGCACTCACCACAAACAAGAGCACCATACAGGTAAAGCAGCAACACCAGGCTCTGCCATCATCTCTACATTAAGATTTAAAAAAAAAAAAAAAAAAAAAATCTTCTGCAGTGGAATTTAACTGACCCATAAAATGTGTCAAGAATAATATATGTTAGCTGTGCCATCAGCCCACACAAACGCCTAGATGACTAACAGCAACTGTTAGATGACCCAGGAAAGCAAAGGCTATGCTACAGTTTAGTCATCAAGGTCATGGTGGAAAAAATTTCTAAATATTGTAAAATGCCCACAAACCTACAGAGAGAAGAGGAAAAATGCAGAGCCTGCTGAGTCAGCTACATAAAGTGAAAGAATTAATTCAGGTTCATTCTTAATGGACAGATGTTAACATCACCTTTCCAAAAAATAAACCAGCATGATAGAGGGCTGGCCAGGCAGCTATAGGAGAGTGACAGAAGGCAGGTATATTAGCCCCAGAATAAGCAGACCTGATAATTGAACACCCAGACAATCAAGGGCCTGCCAGACCCTCTTAAAAGCCTCCCCTCCAGCAAACAGCCCTGGAGGTTTGGGGGAAAAGACCCTGCCAGCGGGGAAGAGACTGAACTGGGCATCTGGCCTCCAGCCGCTTCCGGGCATGGGGCTATCAGAGATGAAGAAATTCCCCTCCCCCTTCCTGGCCAGCCAAGCTGGAAGAAACCCCTGTATAGACCAGACAGAAGCACTGGGAAATTCCCTGGAAGAGAAGACTCCCTCAACTCACTGCTAAGAGGAAGTGAGGAACCCACTGAGGCAGAAGACAAGTCCTGCCACACAAGCAAAATAATACAAGTTGACTAACTCTTAACTGCCTCAGCAAGTGCCAGACGGGGTTAACATAAGGAGTGAATGCTTCGCCTCCCACCAAGCTGGGCCCTCTAGGAGCAAGATGTGCACATTTATGCTGCTGCTGGCAAGTCAGCAAAGCCTCCAATCTGACCGTGGGCATATGATCATGCTCCAACTGCCCTTAGAAATGCATAACACTTAGCTATGTACCACAGTTCCAGAGAGACTTTCAAAGGGCACAGAAAGAGCATAGACAGAAAACTGTCCAACCTAGCAGAGCACAGAATTTTCACTCCCAAAGCCAGTTCATTTGACCACCCTCTGCCTTACCTTACCTAATGTGTCTGAAAAATCGGTGTATTTTCCCCCCCACCTGAGAAATCTTACACCACCACTTAAATTTATTTGCGGACCTGATCGTGATTTCACATTACTGGAGTTACCGCCGGTTTACACCAGTTTAGCACAGATCGAGATCAGGCCTCAAACTTTCACTTCAACCTCACCTGACATTTTTAAGCATGTACAGGACTTCTGATGGCAAGTGGGAATTCTTCACATCAAATTCAGTTAGATCTGCTTCCAGCAGGGAGGGAGGAGGCTCCTTTGGCTGCAGAGTTGGAGACTCCTTCTTAAAACGCAAAATTCTACAAGAGAAGAAAGCCAAATGAATAGAATTCATGGGCTCAGTCAGCTTCTGTTCATGCTGGGCTTTTGGATTAGAAGCTTTATTATTAATATTATTATAAAGCAGTGACGGTCTCATTTTCCAGTACAGTTCCACTCTAGAAGATTAAAAAACATTCTAACATCTTAGAATTGTAGAAGACTAAGGTCTGAAGAGCCCTCAGGAGGCATCTAGTCCAATCCCCTGCTCAAAGCAGAACTAACCTCAACTAAATCATCCCACCCAGGGCTCCGTCAAGCTGGGCTTTAAAAACCTCTAAGGACAGAGATGCCACCCTCTCCCTAGGGAACCCAGCCCAGCGCCTCCCCACCCTCCTAGGGAAATAGCTTTTCTGCAACCTAAACCTCCCCCACTGCAACCCGAGACCATTGCTCCTCATTACGTCATCTGCCACCACTGAGAATTGCCTGGCTCCATCCTCTTTGGAAACACCATACAGGCAGTTGCAGGCTGCTATCAAATCCCCCCTCACTCTTCTCTTCTGCAGACTTAATAAGCCCAAATCCCTCAGCCTTTGCTCGCAAGCCATTTGCCCCAGCCCCCTCATCACTGTTGTCCTCCATTTTACTCTCTCCAGTTTGTCCATGTCCTTTCTGTAGTGAGGGCCAGATGTGGCCTCACTGGTGCCAAATAAAGGGGAATAATGACTTCTCCGGATCTGCTGGCAATGCTCCTCCTAATGTACCCCAGTATGCCATTAGCCTTCTTGGCAGCAAGGGCACCCCACTGACTCATTCAGCAATTTGTTTCCTGTAATTCCCTGGTCCTTTTCTGCAGAACTGCTATCTCCCTTTCCCTCCTCCACAACAAACAGTGAACATTTTCTAGTGCGTAGCCAGATTCAGGGTTCAGACACCACCCAGGATTAAATACAGGGATTTCATAAGGGGTCCCAGCCAGAATGAGGTAGACCCTTGCCTGACACTACAGTACACAACAGCTCTGGGTAGAGTCAATGCCTCATAGCTCATCACCAGCTCTGTCCCTGCACTCTCCTCCCTTCCTTGAGTCACTGTGCAGTCTAAACACTATGGAACAAGCCTGCACAGCAACAGAGAGTGGCTGCAAACCTCCCCCCTTTCCACTCCTATTGAAAGTTTCATTACTGGGGGGAGGAGCAGAATTTACTCCATTTTAATCCACTTTTTACCAGGAAGTGGGAAAACGCATTAGAAAGCATGGGACCTTCACTACTTTATGAGGAAAAGCTGGTCATCTAAAAGCCCCACAGGAATAGAGATGGACTGAGCCAAAATGAATAGGTAACCCCTAGTACCACAGGAGTCAAACTAGAACTCCTGCAATCGTAGCATGAAGTGAATTGTGTCTGTACATGGGCACAGCAACAGCTCCACAACCACGGAAACATACCTCTTAGCCAAAGACAAAACCTTTGCTCTTTTCCGCATCCTTTGGCGAGGCACCATGTTCCCAACCAGAGAGTTTGGGAGAGTTGTCACCTACAGGAAACAACCAAATCAACAACCTCTGAAAGTCCTGATTCTGCCAAGTCTCACACGTGTGGCACTACTGGAATCCATGAAAAGTTAGCTCCACATGTAAGGCTTTGTAGGGTCGGGGCCTGCGCAAGCACTAAGACGCTGTGGTGCTACAGCATGGCGTTCTCTTTTTAGTTTCATTATACTTTTAACTATTTTAGACAGCAATTAAGAAAATGGGGATGGCTGATCCAGAAAAATCTCAGAGTATTTCTGACCAAGAACTGGAAGCACTAGAAACACAGGAGTAATCGTTTAAAGTGTAAATGTTAACCCAGCAGTTGCTGATGCACTGAGGTCTGATGTAAAGGAGGACACCTACTGTACTATTTAAACACCACAATAAATGCAGTAACTGGAGTGCCCCTTAGTGGAGGAATGTAAATATTGCAAGATCAAGAAAAATAGGGCACATGGCACTATGAAAATATAAATAATAAATATTTAACATAGAACTTCAAGCCTCTTGGTCAGGTCTCCAGATACGGATTCTCTCATTCAATAGACTTTTAGAACACAGGATCATTAGATAGCACAGTTAAAAGAAGTCAGAACAAGATTCCTAGAATATAATGGGATTTCAGCCACAATGCCCAGCGCACATTTTCTATTCCTTGCCACCATACATTATCCCTTATGTCGTTACATGAAATATCCAGCGCGCGCGCACACACACACACACACACACACACACACACACACACACAGAGCAATCATTGTGACACAGTTGTCAGAATCTTAATTTTTCTTTCCCTTTAATTATCTTGCACTTCATGGACTGATTAAATTAAATAGATCTAGAGAGAAACCAATCAAGAACTCCCAAGAATGCCATTTTTAATCAACCAACTATTCAGATTAGAACTAGAACATGATGAACTTTTTACCTGAAAGGAGAAGACAGCTAGAGTCTGTCATTCTTTATGCTTAAAAGCTAGGGAGCTGCTCTAGGTTTTAAGGAGGATTATTGAATTATATTGACATCAGTAATAAACCAGCACACCAAGGTCTTAGCAGCTTTTTCCATATGAAAATGAAGTAATTTTAATTAGCTTATTGCCAAATGTTTTATCTAAGGTAAGTTTTATGTATGCGCCAATAAGGAGCTAGAATCTTAAGGGCAATATAAAAAAGTTTATTTATTCATTTTTGTTAAGTGTGAAAGTATATTAAATACAAATCCCCATTTCCCATACTAAAATTTCAAATTAGAAAACTAGTTGTGAATTGGCTCTCTACCCCACCATGCCATCTAAGCAGCTTTAAAAGGAGACCACATACAGAAAGAATCCTAAAAATAGAAACAAGGATGGAACATTTTTCAAAGGTGAACTGTTCATTTTAAACTCTCTTTCTCTCTCTCAGCATGTAACATGTACACATTAAAAAAAAGTAACTTCACGCACAGAATGGTCTCAGGAGATCACCAAGTCGAATACTTGAAACAGGTTTTGAAAAGTAGGGCTGAAAAGGGCGACTTTGGATGGTTTAAGGACTACTCGTGATGTTTTATATTTATGTAGGCTAAGACCTGGGCACTCATCTCTCATCCCTCAGATTATAAAACTGGTAGCCATACGATTTAGAAAGGAATCTCTCTTCCACACACAAGCCTGCACAACTAGACACATGCATTCTTTCCAAGAATAAAGAGGAACTTTTTCTGAAATATCAGGCATTACCTACTTCCTGTTAACAGGATACCAACTACAAAACCTATGGTCTGATCAGGATGACAAACTCAATGTATTGGAGACTTCGCTTCTGAAAAAAATGTAGTGAGACTTATTAGGCTGAGCCCAATATTCATGGTAAGTAGGTCAGACATCTGCTTACTGTGGATATTAGGTAAGTTAATTATGGATAGTTGATTATGGGAGGTATTCCAAGGAACCTATGAATATCACATGGTCTTCCTGGATTTTAATCTTTATTTTCCATCCTCCCTCCCCTCTTCATTAGATGTACTTGCCTTTCTCATGATCTTGCGCCCATAGAACATTACTTTGTCTCTTTTGCGAAATCTGTATTGAGGCACTTGTGGCTGAAGTTGTCCTGAAACACAAAAGGATCAAACAACTCTGCAGACAGTTTGTAACAAGGGGGAAAAGAAACATGCAGAAATCCATGTGAAACTCTCAACTGTTCCTATTGAAGACCAGACCAAAACCCCATTGCTCTTTAGCATCATAATTTCAAATGAATGACAGGAAAGAAACCTACTCTGATTAAATACTCTTTGGGGATGATGAAACATCCATGTTCAAGTTGTCAGTGGACAGATTTAACCTGGAGTTACTTTTGGCTCATAATGTAGCTGATTATGGGATGTCATGGGGTCAAAAACTGCTGTGGAGCTAGCAAACAAAATAAGGTACGGAAGTCAGAAGAAGAGACTTCTTCTAGTCAGCCCTGACAGCAGCACTGACCAAAGGGAGTCAAAGTTTGGGGGTTATTTAAAAAAAGGGGAGGGAGAGAGGGGATCAGAACACTGAATAAGAGAGGGAAGAGAAAACAAAGACTTTTGCAGAAGTCTCTTCCTACCATCCCCTCCCAAAGGTGGATGTCTAAGCTTTATTCCCTGAAGCTTGGATGTCATTCATTCAAACAGCTTTAAAATTGTAGGTGCAGAATCTCTAGTGCTGAACAATTGCCTGTCTGCAGCAGGTGATTTTAGGAACCACTGCCACTTCCAGAACTCCTCTTTATCTGGAGCAGGGCCTGCTCCAACAGGAAGGCACAGGATCTGAAAGAAAGATGCTGACTGCAGTTGTGTATTCATAGTCCTTTACCAGAACAGGTTTAGATCCTAGAAAAAGCCCTTAGCTATGGCAAATTTATGCTGGTTCCCAGAGGTGCCAGTTTTCTAATGTGCCAGGCAATACACCCCCTCAGCACCACCCATGCTCTCACCTGCACTTCACCCTAGGGATGTTCAAAAGTGGTTAATTAGGTAACTACGTAACTGTTACATACTGATTGCTCGGCACTATAAAGCTTATACTGGGAGCAGGGCCGGCAGCCAGGACACACCAGGAGCCAGCTCCTAGCTGCCAGCCCCACCCCCAGGGAGCCAGCTGTGCTGCAGGCTCTGCAATATAAGCTTTGCACTGCTGCGCCCGCAGCAGGGGGTGAGAGCCAGCTGAACGTGTCAGCTGTTTCACATTTACAAAAAAAGGCTTTTTAACATCTCTACAATCTATTTCCTTTTTTAATGTGTCTCACAGGGCCTGTCATGACCATAAGGGTTAGCCAGCAGCCTGAGGACTAAAGGGTTAACTATGTCCCTTACCTAACCAGGTAGCGACAGACAGCCAATAGAAATGTAGGTAGGAATTTCAAACTGGGACAAAGGAATGTTGGGTTTTCCCTTTTGGCCCTGGGCAGTTGCTCTCCAGCTACTGAGGGGGACAGACAAAATGTCTCACTCCAAGAAGACACTTCACTATCTGTAAGTAAGGTAAAGTTTAGATAAATCCATTAGGTTTTCTTGTTTTATGGTTTGGGAATGGGAATCTGATGTCTGTGCATTTAAAAAATGGGTTTTCCTCTCCTTTGTAACTATACTCTTGGCCCGTAGCGGTGTTCCCCCATGAGTATATTAATTGATGACTTTTCCATCTAGTCATTATGCTTGTAACAGGAGTGTTGTGATGATAAAAAATAAAAGTTCTCTTTCTTATTAACCTGGTATTGGTTAATGTTTGTGTGTCCTGGTTTTACAGTAGGACTGAGATTTCCCAAGTGATCTCTCCCCGGCTTTCTTATCATTACTTGGATGGTGGCAGCAGATTTTTATCCCCAAAATCTAGGTTTTTAAGAATCTGGGGGGGAAGCTTTATACCAAAGCCTGGAAAGATGAGATTTTGGGGTACTTTTGCGAGCCCCCATTTCTACATTTATCATGCCATAGTGGGGAAAAAACCATGACTGGGCCTTTCACCTCTCCCGCAAAGATTAGGACTCCTATTGCTGTGCGCTGGATCCCTCAGATGGATGCCCCCAATTTTCATCTCTGTCCCACTCAAATTCAGTGATGTTTCCTGATTACACCAAATTATTTCGATTTTGACTGAGATGCCACAGAGGTTACTACATGCTAATGGAATTAAACCCACCTAATTTAAAGCCTACTGAACATCAACAGTTAACACAATCAACAATGCAACACAACTGTTGTGTCTCTTAAGGCAGAGGCAAGCAAAAATACGACCTGCAAGTTGGATCCAGCCCACCAAACATTCAGAGCAAGCCCACCACAATACACTGGGCTGCCAATGTCCTGCAGCTCAGTGGGATACTCAGGCAGGCTTCCTGCCTGCCATGCCCCCACTCAAATGGGCCAGTAACTGGGCCTAGCATGTGCGTTTCTGCACAGTGCATGCTATGCAGGAAGAGGGGGGGTCTCCACGTATTGCTCCCAGCCCAGCACAATCCTCAGAGCCCCCATTGGGCACACCCCAACCCACTGCCCCAGTCACAACCCAAGCCCTCTGCACTTCCTCCTACACCTCTGCACACCCACCCCAGATCAGAATCCATGTCCACGCTCACACCCCTCCTACAACCCAATCCCCTACCCCAAGCTGGAAATACCAGGGCAAATGAAACCACTGAGAAGATTGTGTTTTTAAGCATGTGTAGCAAGTTGCATACTTACTAGATTGCTTCACCTTTCTGTAAACGATACACACAAAAATCCCTATAAGGGACAGTGCCACTGCAGCGCCAATTACTATCCCAGTTAGCTGAGGGGAGAAGTTAGGAAAAAGATTTAAGGAATATTAAATTTTGCTAAACCCTACTGCAAACACTCAGCAAGCGTGAGAGTGGAAATTCAAGGCATGTTCAGAAATCCTCATTTTGAAAAAAAAAATTAAAAAGAGACAACCTTAATATAATTAAGTACTGCCTCATTTAATCCATCTCAGTCTGCCTCCCACATACTCATCCCTGGGATCCTTTGCTTCTATTTGAAGGACTCATGAATTGAATCTGTAGTAGGACATGGGGTGAAAAACAGAAATTGAAACTCCACTTCATGCACTGCAGTAATGTGAGATCACAAAATTCAGGCAAGCTCTCACCAGCCATGGGGGGAATTCTGAGCCACTGCACATGCACATAATTCATGTATGCCACAGATTTTTTTTTCTCTGCAGAAAATATATTCTGCCCAGAGGTGTGCTGCAATTACATCTTTCATTCAACAGGGGCTGCTGTGGTACCAAAACAGAGGGCAGCCAGCTCACCATAGCAGTCAATATGAAGCAAGCCAGAGGCTGGCTGTCTCAGGTAACATGGCTGCATGGGCAGGTGAGGAGAGGAGGGATATGGGGGGGTGAGGACTGAGGTTCAGACGGGCTAATGAGAGAGGCAGACGAGGGCAAGGGCGGAGTGGGAGTGCAGAAGACAGCAGGGTGTGCAGGGCCACATGGGGATGGCAGGGTAGGAAATGGTTCACTGGAGTGCAGGGACACATAGGGACGGGGCGGACATGTCTGGCTAACTGGGAGATGCTAGAGATCAGCCAGGGTCTGCATGAAGGAAGCTCCTCAACTCCCTAATAATCTCTCCCCTCCCCTTTAAAAAAAAAAAAAAAAAAAAAGTTCCATACTTCTCCCGCCCACACTCAACAACCTCCAGGTTCACTCCCAGGCTGCTTTCCAGCAACTACTTCCCTCTCCCTCAGCTTGTGTTACTCCCGACTCCCCCCAAGCCTTTGCAGTGCTACTGAGGGGGTACAGGAAATATGTGCTCTATTGTCATTTAAATGAATGATTATGCAAAGTTCTGTATTAATAAAATTAGTAAGGAATTTGTCAAAAACATTGCCTGAATCCTTTTTGTTGTCTGTATATCAGTAACAATACTTCTTGAAAGGTATTTTGAAAAAAAGATTACTGAAATAATTGAAACCAGCAGGATAATATTGTATAAGTTTGACAAATAAAATATGCAGAATCTTGCAGAATGTACAAATATTGTGCACAGAATTTTATTTTTGGCCCAACTTCCCCCATGAGTACTGACTGTACCCAAGGGGTCATGCACAGGAGGCTATTTTTACACACATTTTATCTTGCATCCAGCCAATAAAAACTGTATTATTACCATAGTAGTTTGCATTCGGTCTTCTATGAACTGAAGAAGACGTGTTTGTAGATTTATGCCCACCGGGAATCCACCCTAAAGCCAGAACAGAAAGGGACAATTAGTATATTTGAGGAAAAAGCTTGCAAAAACTGAAGGCTCTTGAAAAGAGTATCTATACACACAGCAAGAAATCTCCATAACAGTATCATTATCCGGTCTCATGTCTCCCGTGTACGGTGTCTTCCTTTCAACCACACAATAAAGCACGTTAGGGTCCAATGGATTATGTGACACACAGGGTATGACCTTGTGGCTCCTTATTCATTTCTACTCGTGACAAGTATTTTAGAACATTAGGCTCCAGATCCCTTTGATGTAAGTGCCCCACACACAGCCACAAAAGAGCTAACTCAGGAGCTTCCCTAGTATCCAAACCAGTAAAAAGTGATGAAATCAAACAGTCTAATCCACCAATACCAGCCCTTGTGTTCCTCCCTCCCCAAAGCCTGGGCACCCGGATGGTAAACAGAGCTGGGCCATTTCAGTCATGGAGTGTGACCCAGAGACCTCTTGGGACAGCTGGCAGAGGGGACATGGGGTTTTACAGGGATCCCTTGGGCTGGGGCATACATATTACTTCACCAAAGTAATCTTTGCAAGATGTAGGTAAGGAGAATATTTAAGTTATGTACCTATATCAAACATTATGTTCTTAAGCTAAGGCAGGTCCAGTGACATGCCCCAGGCAGGTTCCCTTCAGGCGGGAGGTAACAGCTGCTCAGACCTCCCTGCCACATCGTATCTGTTAGAGATGGTAAAATGCATTTTTTTGGGGGGGTAAATGTCTAACTGCTGAAATTTTACACCGGGGGCTGGAGGCGGGGGGAAGGAGGAGGAGGAGGAGAGCAGGTAAGACCCAGCTTCCTGCCTGCCATCCCACCCCAGTGCCGCTGCCTCTGTATCCATGGTACATGCTCACATCCCTACAAATACCACAGAGAAGCAAAAAAAGCACAAAGACAATTTCATCAGACACACTTCTTCAGTTTCCCTTGAGAGATTTTTTTCAAGTAAGTGGCTTGGTTTCCACTTCCATGGCACTTTCTATAGTGCTTAGAACATGCAGCGACCCAAACCCAAAACACTCCAGTCACATAACTCGATGTTGTCACGTTGCTGAATTGGAGGGAAGCCGCCAGATCGCTGCTGCACCCCTAGGTGGGGGTGTTGGCCCCAGAAATTGGTATGGGGGGAGCCATGTGGGGTATTGAATGGGAGATTATTGTTTGTTGATCTTATGTACGCTATTTATGTGAGTGTATAATGTCTATGTGTGTAGGTAGGAATCTGTAATCTGTGTGGAAGCTGAATATTTCTGTGAATGTGGTTGAGCATTGCTATGGACAGGCTGAGTAGTGAAGCCCTGTGGAACAATGGCCCTTGATGGCCCAAAGACACACCTAAAGCAGGAGGGCGGAGACCCAAGAGCTGCCAGCAGAGAGAGGCTGAGGACCAGGTGACCTGCTGCATACCAGAAGAGGCCAGGGAGGGGGTATAAAGAGGCCATGTGGTCGATGCCATTTTGTTCTCAGCTCAGCACTTCATCTCAGAGGCAGCACTGCAGGGATTGAAGAGCCCGGAAGACCTGTGAACCCATCCTGATCGTAGGATGTGCAATAAGAACTTTTAAACCAGCAGCTGCAACATCTCTGCTAGAGCCTGCATCGAGAACTGGGAGATTCGGTGCACGTAACATACTGTACTTTAATAACCTTACTCTCATGCTTTTCTTTCCTGTAATAATAAACCTTTAGATATAGATTCTAAAGGACTGGCCCAGCGTGATTTGTGGGTAAGGTCCAGAGGGTAAATTGACCAGGGATCTGTGGCTGGGTTCTTGGAACCGGACAGAACTTGTTCGGGGTAGGTGGGATTGGGTGCTAGGACCCCCCACCTGTGTATGAGGCCCGGGGCCATCTGGGGCACGGATATTGCTGGGGTGTCGGAGGGGTTTTGCTCAGGAGGCTTCAGGCAGGCAGCTGAAGCGCTCTGTGGGACTGGTTTGTGGCCTGTGTGGAAAGGTCACCAGTCGGGGGCTGTAAGTAGCCCCGGATTCGAGCAGTTCGCCCTGAGCGGACGCCCTCAGCTGTGCCCAGACACGGCCCGGTCTGTCACAGATGTGTACAGTATCAAGTAACCTACGTGCATATTTCCCTACTGAATTCTATTCACAGCTCTGCCACTGGCTCCCTGGGCTAAGAACAGTGTTCAGGTGTTCCTAAATTCCATATTCAGTACACTAGATCATGTGGCTTCTCCAACATCGCTCAACTGGCTCACAGGCTTAATAAACCCTGCACTGTCCTGACTAGCCGATGAGAATGGCCACTGTTATAAAAACAGAATTTCAGCCTCATATCCTATTTGTACATTTAATCTGAACAGTTTCCTTCCCAAATAACTAGCCATACTCCATGCTCACAGAGACCTCACTAACCAATTATGACACACTTAGTGGGAACTGTGTACATCACTGATCCCTTATTGTCCAAAGGAAAAAAAAATACATCTATGCCCCACAGTTCGTATGTGTCACCCATTGTATGCCAATACTGGCCAGTGCACAGCAGACAGCTTTCAGAGCGCAAGAAAAATAAGCAGGAAGCCACAGAGTGAAAGAACCTGTTCCCGGTGATCTAGCTCCTGGAGAAAAGTGAAAAGAGGAGGGAAGATTCAGAGCCTCGAGGAAGATGGGGAGGCTCTCACCTAACGTCCATACCAGTGTGTGCAGCAGGAGAGCATTCCCACCCAACACAAAGGCCTGAGGCAGGCAGGGCAGTCGCTGTGAGTACAAGGGAAGTGACCTCACAAAGACCTGAGAGAAGAGGAGAACACAAGGGGGAGGTGGTGACCTCACAGAGACCTGGAGCACATGGAAAGATCTTGTTAGTGCTGCACTTACCAATACAGACCTCTTGTATCACTTACCAGGTCTGCAGAGCAATAGCTTGATTCAAGGAACTTACAAGTGCCTCATACACAGTCAGCAATGCTTGTAAACTCCACAAGCCAGGAAGTTACAAGTGCCACGAGCACTACAGGGCTAGGGACAAAGACTGCAGACCCACAGACTCCACTTCATTTTGTAAGTGTGTGTCCCACCATTACAGAGCTAGCTGCACCCTCTGACCTCTTCCCTGGTCTCAGAGAGCACCCCCCAGTAATGTGTCTTCTGGCACTGGCCAGTACAAGGTGCTGCAAAGGGAATAAACAGAACAGGTAACCATCAAATGATCCCTCTCATATCATCCATTTCAGCTTCTGACAGAGACCAGGGACTCTATCCCTGCCCATCCTAGCTAACTGCATCAATAGACCTCTCTTCACTTTTTTCAAATCCTGTTATAGTCTTGGCCTTCGGAACATCATCTGGCAAGGAGTTCCACTGGTTTACTATGTGTCGTGTGAAAAAATACTGGCTTTTGTTTATTTCAAACCACCTGCTCGTTAAGTTCATTTGCTGACCCCTAGTTCTTCTGCTATGGGAAGAGTAAATAACATTTCCTTATTTCCTCTCACAAAGTCATGATTTTATAGCAAATTTCAGAACAGAGGGGAGGATGAGAAGGAGAGATAAATGTCTGTGAACTAATGTTCTGAAATTTGATTTGTCCTTTTCATACGTGTTCACTTTTTTTGATTGTATCCCTTTGATATATATGGTTGTGCCAATTTTCTTCCACAATTTGATCTGAGGAAGTGGGTCTGGCCCACGAAAGCTCATCACCTAATAAACCATCTTGTTAGTCTTTAAAGTGCTATATAGTTCTGTTTTTTGTTTCAGCTAGACCAGACTAACACGGCTACATTTCTATTACAATACTTGGTCCGTAACTCAAAGTGTTCGTAACTTGGATCCCATAGAGTTACATGGCGACCGTGCTGTTCGTAAACGCGGATCGCCATTCCTAACTCGGATCTGCATTTACGACCGCTTTGGTCGTAAGTGCAGATGGTCGTAAGTGGAGGTAGTCGTAACTCGGAGCAGCTGTACTATAATTATGCCTGGTTGTCATGGTCTTGAGTTCTGCTTTTTTTATGTTTTTAAGTCAACGTTCCTCCGCAGAGTTCCTTTGCTTTTCATTTTAAAAAAAGTTGATTTTAAAAAGAGCTTTCTAGGCTTTAAGGTTTCAAATCCATTTTCCAAATGGAATCAATCATAATGAATGCCAACTCACTGTGCTTCCCCAGGTGCCCGTTGCTTCTAAATGCAGAGCAAGAGGGCAGGAGAGCACTAAAGCTATGCAATTTAGAAACAAAAGCCACCTTTCTATCAAAATCAGTCCTTATATTTTAAGAACTACACCAATATTTTGTATTAACGTCTTATGTTTCTAAACCAGGGCTGGGCAAAATACGGCCCGGGGACCAGATCCAGCCCACCAAGCCACTGGATCCCACCCGCGGACCACCAAACCGGGATCCCCAGTCACACAGCGGTTTAATCCCTGCAGCTCTCTGCTCTGTGGAGGGGGCTTCCCACCCCCAGCCCAATCCTCAGCTCCTATTGGCCAGAAACAACTGGCCAATAAGAACTGACCTCAGCTAATCTCTCAGCTCCTATTGGCTGGAAACAGCCAGCCAATCAACTGAGAGATTGGCCTGCGAGACTGGGGCAGCGCAAGCCTCTTCCGGACAGGACTGGAGAGCTGCATGGAGGGAGCAGCCTGAATTTTCAAGGAGCCCATCCTGCCTTGGGGGTGCTGCAACCCGCTGGCCAGGAGACACTTAGGTAAACTCTTCCCAGCCAGTGCCTGCCTCTGGCACCCCAACTCCCTCCCTCAGATCACCATCCAAACCCTCTGCACCCCGTGCCCCAGGTGACAACTCCCTCCAGGAGCCTGTACCCCCTCTTCTACCCCTCCCCCAGGCCAGAATTCTCTCCTGCACCCACACTCCCTCCCCGACCCTACACTCTGTCCCAGGTCACAATCCCCTACGCCACCCAAACACCCTCTCAGACCCCACAGTCTCCTGAACCCCAGTCCCTTACCCCATGCATCCTTCTGCACCTACCCTCCAACTGAGACCTTGCACCCTCTCCACAGAAAAGTGAGGCCCTTGACCACTTATCAAAATCTTGGAGTGGCCCCCCCACCAAAAATTATTGCCTACCCCTATTCTAAACACACACCACCATTCAGGACTGGTCTACACTATGATTTTAGGTCGAACTTATTCATGTTAAGTGGATTTTCTAAACAATGGATCTCCACCACCAAGCCCATTCCACCAACTTTAAGATGGCTAAAGTCGATATCTGTGCTCCTTGGTGAGAAGTAATGCTAAATTTGATCTTGCACAGTCGGCTTTGGGGTAATGCAGATGCAGCATTGTGAAAGTCAATGTTCAAAGTCTAGGTGACCCAATCTAACCAACACTTTCAACTCTGCTGTTCTCCAGGTGCACAGGAAAAGTTCTGGGAAAATCTGAATTGCATTTCCTGACTGGTCAGCAGGGCGAGCCCAGCAGCTGACCATGAACACCAGGGTCACAAAGGAGTTCCAGCCTGGAGCGTGCAGGCCAGGCAGATACAGTAATTTATATAAAATCCATCAGATATACCCCCACAAAAGGAATTATTCTGGGGACTGTGACGGGGCAGACAGGCCCCGCACTGAAGGGCAGAGAGTAGCCCAGGCCCAGCTGACTGAGAAGGCCCCGCCCATCCAGCTCTGCTGGGCATGCTCCCAGCAGAGCCAGAGTATAAAAGGAGAGAGCCCTGCAGGTAAGGAGGCAGGTGGGGGAAGGAGTAGGTCAGGCTGCAGCCCCTCTCTCCCCAGTGTTTCTACAGCAGCTGATGCAAGAGCCACAGCCAACCCAGAGCAAAGCCAGCAACCACCACTGCCTAGGAGGGAGAAATGCCTGCAACCCCAGCGCCAGCCCCTGATAAGGACCGGGCTTGGAGGCAAGCAGACTACAGGGCAACCAGGGCATGGTAGGAAGCAGCCCAGGGCAGAGAACTGGGACAGTGTCTTGGTGTGTAGCGGCTGGATTCCTTGCGAGCAGGCAGGAGCAATAGTCTCTGCCTAAAGGGCCTGGGGCTGGGACCCGGTGGAGAGGAAGGGCCCAGGTCCCCCTAGCACCCTTTTCCCTACCCTGGACAAGCGACTCCCTGGCCAGGAGAGGCTTTTGTTGTGACTAGGATGCAAGGGCCGTATATACCTTAGCAGAAGGTCATAGTGACTGGACAGAGGGGCCAACGCGTGGGGACATCCAGCGAGGCGGCCCCAATTCTGGGGGGGAACCCATCCCTTGACAGGGACATTCTATGGCCTGTGCTTTAGGAGTTCAGGGTAGATTATCACAATAGTCCCTTCTGGCTTTGGAATTTAGGAGTGCTAAATGAATCTCCTACATTAAATCTGAAAGTCATTAAAAGTTGTGTTAAGGAAATCAGATTATATCATACTTTCAAAATAAGAACCAAGAAAGATACAGTTCAGACTGCCTAAGTGCAATTCAAGAAAAGGCGTATACCATTAGACACTGGCACAGAACAACTCAAATACTATGTGACAAATCTCAGAGGTGGAACCATGTTTGTTTTTGCAGATGAAGACTATGAGAAGTCCCGACAAAGTGATTTTTACCTATGATAGATTATGAATAAAATGTTAAGTCTGGAAGGGGCCACAGGACTCCTTGTTCTTTCAAATAGTATGGAAATCAGTTTCAAATTATATAAATAATTCTGCTACCAATCTTAGCAGTCAGTTCCAACACACACAATATTATACAGGAAAAAGTCTAAATGACCTGTTTCCACCGTACTTTAGATTCCTCTTTAAAAGTTAGGTTTTTAACTTAGTACTAATGATGCTCATCGCAGCTGCAGAGGGAAAGTAGCAAAGCACTGGTCATTTCAGCACCCGTTATTAAGAAGAACGCTACATGTAGTGGAAGTGGATACCCAACTATGGATGGAGCGGGGCCAAATCTGCAGATACAGGGCTCTGGGCAGAGCAGGACAGACATATGTCCTGGAGTAGTAGCCAGGAACTTGGGTGAAGGATAAGAGTAGCAGAGCTACCCCCAACCCACGTGGTCAGAGGGCTCAAGAACAGAAGGGGCAGACAGAAAGTTTCTTCTTTCCTCAACAATAAGCCAGGTGGGACAGGATGGGTTTAAACATACGAGACTCAGTAGCCAAGATGGAGTCCTCCAAGATCCAGTCCGGCACATCTACCGTAGTCCTGATTCTCCTCCACCTGCCTACTCCTTTCAATATTCATTTCACCTTGCTAGTCGACATCTGGTAACTTCTGCTTTGATTTGAATTCTATATAACAGAGGTGGATTAAGATTTACTGGGGTCTTGGGCACAAAGAACATTTAGGCCCCTCACATCCACAGAGCTCCTGCTCCTCTTCTTCCCTTCCAAGCCCCAACCACGTATAGCCACAGTGAAAGACAAGTTGAGTCCCCTGGCAGCTTTCTCGAGCTCTTCAGTCTGTGACTATATTGTTGAAACAAAAAGGGATAACTTACCCGAGCAAAATTAAGCACCTCTATAAGCACTAGCAGGATTGGGGCCTGAAAGCTCCAGGGCAACCAAATAGGTGTGGCAGTATATCAGCTGCACCTTCCATTGTGTTACTTTGGTAATGCCTGGGACTACAATGAAAGCTGGAGGAGACATGAAATGCAACTGGCTGAAGCCAATCATTTTAAGGTTTTGGAAGGGAAAAACAAAACAAACCCTCATCTGCCATGAGTCTAAGAATAGTTCTGTATTCTTTAGTGGATTAGCCAGATGTTATTGAACTGGGCACGTTCAAGTCCAGATTTTGGAAATACCATGAGTGCTTGAATAACTCAGAGTATAAATATTAAAACCCAGCATATCATACCTCAACGCTGAAGCTGTTGTCCTCATTACCCATCTCTTCGGGGAAGGAAGAATGAGAGAGAGAGAAGAAAACCTAGTTAATAAGTGACATTTATCATTCCCAGTCAGCATTAACATCCATAATGTAAAGTGTTTGAGAACTAACACTCCAACCATGTTTGTTTATTTATCATTACAAGGCATTTGTCTTCATCGTCTTGAGAAAATACATTGAAAACAGAAAGTTCCTCAGTGAAGGAATAAAGCATGGATGAGGAACCTATAGCCTATTGTTTGCCTTAATGCAGCCCGCAGCTTGGGGCTCTTCTCTGCCCGCACTGTCAAGCAAGCCAGTGCTGGTGCTTCAAGACTCTGAACCTCAACGCCCCCCATGGTTGCTGGAGTGCCAAGGCCAGCTCCACGCTATCGGGTTGGGGAGCCTGCAGACTCTGTCTGGCAGTGGGTCTTATGAAACTTAGTTTTTCTGTTCAAATTATGAAAAACATTTTCTGCCAGTGTACAAATGTAAATAGATAAAAATATTCAATATATAGCAAGATAATGAAATTCACTTAAAAAAAAACTTTAAAAAATTACAATACTTACCCTATTATGCATGCCTTATTAAAATAAGAGGAACCACCCCCACAAGTATAAAGGACGTATATGATTCTATATAATTTATATGTGAACTACAAAACGTAAACTGAAAATTAATGTACTAACAGGCAGTGGATTCTTGCCACCATTAGGTGTTGAATATCATAATAATGTTATTTGATTTTGAGAGAATACATAATGCTGCATTTACTAGTGCACAATGCAGTATCCTAAGTAGTTACACTAATCTTGTATTTTTCAATCTGTGGGCCAGAAACTGTCTTAAGATTTCCATCCACACCAGCATTCAAAATTTGTTGAAAAGAGACTGAAACCACTGCAGTAAACGATAGCTGTCAAAATGGACATTTTATGGTTAGCAATCTTTATTTTTTATTGTTTATTCACTTAAAAGGCTAGTCAGTTTTATTTTTTTAATCCTTTTTCTTTCATTATAATCATCAGAAAGGGTAGGCAGCTATATTTTGTGCCTGGGCTAATACAGTTTCATGACGATTTCGCAAGGTTGGGGGGGAAATTGACTCATAATATGCTCTGACATTTTGTTTATATTTGATTCTATTTAGACCCTTATCTCCTAAAGACTTAATTTCCCACTAACACTGCTCACACCAAAGAACAGCGAGGCCCAGCCAATGGGGATATTCGCTGTGTGTAGAGCGAAGCAGGCAGGTCTCTGCACAGGCTGGAGGCCGCCCCCTTATCACACCTCTGGGCGCAGGCGGGAATGTTTTCAGCCCCGCTTGGCCGTCGCGGGCCCGGCCCGAGCAAGGGGCCCGACGCGGCGGGTCGCTGCTGCAGACTCTGAGCTCAGACGCTCGCCTCACGCCCGCAGAAGCGGGTCTAACCCCCCCCACCCCGGCCCGGGGCCCCTCCAGCGCGCGGCCCACC